AGACATTTAGGCTGCTGACAGCTTACCTGTGTAAAGACCTGTGTAAAAATCTGTGTCACAATGAACATTTTTGAGCATACAAAAAAGCAATAACTTTCAAAAAGACCTTTGCTTTTTCTACCATTTTTTTCTTTTCCAATACCTTACAGCATCTGTCTGTTTTATGCTATCTATAACTTTGTATTTTGTGTGTGAAATTCGAGTATCTGGTTTTATTTTTAGCTGCTCTACCATGTGCCGAACTCAATCTCTCACCCTGTGGTCTCTGTGTCACCTCCACCCACCTCCTCAAAGCCTGCAATGCTACAGTTGCTCTAAAGTTCTTATGACTCAAGGATTCATGTGAGGTACAAGATTTGTCCTCAGGGGTGCCCTTGACCTCCCAAAATTGCATGCAAAATTGGATGTGTGCACTTTCCAGTAAGAGGCTATAGATCATGTATCAGATTCTCAAGTGGTTCAGGTGACCAAAAAAAGATTAAGAATCACTGATTGTCTAGGACTCTTTTTAGCATCATTTATCTCTTTCCTTCCACTGGGCTGTTGCCTCTGCTTATTCAGATTCTAGCCTAAAATCGCTTCTCTTTTAATCTTTAAATTGCCATCCTACTTGTACCTCCTGCCTTCCTGTCACTGTCAACTTTCTTGAATGAATACTTATACCTGCTGTGTTCACTTCTTTACCTTCTGTTTACACCCCAACTCCTGGATCTCACCCTCCTGTTCTGCTGAAGTTGCTCTTTTGAAGATGATATACGCCTACTCCTCATGTGGTCTTCACCTTCTGACTTCTCTTTAGTGTGCAAGATTGTTGCCCTTGATCTTAACTTTAGCTTTTTCCTCCTGGGCAACTGAACTACTGCCTCCTCTTGGGCCTTCCTCTCCTTTGGCGTTTCTTCTCTCTTTTTTTTTTTTGAGACGGAGTTTTTGCTCTTGTTACCCAGGCTGGAGTGCAATGGCGCAATCTCGGCTCACTGCAACCTCCGCCTCCTGGGTTCAGGCAATTCTCCTGCCTCAGCCTCCTGAGTAGCTGGGATTACAGGTACGCGCCACCATGCCCAGCTAATGTTTTGTAGTTTTTAGTAGAGACGGGGTTTCACCGTGTTGACCAGGATGGTCTCGATCTCTTGACCTCGTGATCCACCCGCCTTGGCCTCCCAAAGTGCTGGGATTACAGGCGTGAGCCACTGCACCTGGCCTGGCGTTTCTTCTCTTAACTGTTTGCCCCTCTTTCCTCTGCTGCCAGATAGAGTTCTCTACAATTTCCTGTCATCAGGTCCCTTTTCTGTCTATATTTTTCTCTTGGGACATCTCATCCAGACCCACATACATGAAGCTCCTGACTCTCTCCTGAAACCCAGGTCCATATTTATAAGTACCATCTCCACTGGGATACCTGAAAGTACCTCCAACGTGTCCAAAGCCAAATTCATCATCTTGCCTGCAGCTGCTCTTGACTTGCATATCTCCCTGACCAGAACCACCATGCTCTGTCAGTCAGGCACAAAAGCTTTGATTGCTTTCAGTCTTCTCATTGTATCCTAGGCAGAGGCTTAGTGCTGTTCTTCCCACAGTACCTCTCCAGCTGCTGCCACTGTTGTTTAGCCTCTTTTTACCTGGCACCAGGCCTGTGGCAGTGGGCTTCCATCTTTCCGTGCTTCACTTCTCATTCTCCCTTCACCACCATCAAACACTCCCAGCTTTACTCGTCTAAAGCATGTGCCTGTTGCTTCAATGCGGTCCTCGCTGTCCTTTTGATCATGCAATATCCACCCAATTGCCTCAAAATTCAAAGCCCTTCAAGTTCTTCAAAGCTCTTCATCCGCAATACTTCCCAAAATACATCCTGTTTGTTCATATTAACCTAAGTAAGGCTTTAGTATTTATAACTAGAATATAGGGGTATACAAATATTTAAGTTTATGGGGGATGCTTTTTAAAGCAAAACCCCAATATCATAGTTATTTATCCAATTTGTTATCTTTTCTAAATCTTACCTCCCTTTGAAGGTTTAGGTTTCAATTTATTACAATTTGACAAAAGTATTTTGAGCAGCTCAGCAGCTGAGGAGAAAGATGCCCCATCATTAACACTTTTAAGGTTGAACAAGAAACACTAGCATCTGTGGAAGATGCAAAGGCTTTCTCCCAGTCCCTGCTTATACTTTGTATTGGTCAGAGCCACTACAGGAAACAAAAATCCACCCAAAAGGTGTTTGAGGAAGTTTAACAAAGGGAAAATTTCCGAACATGTGGAAAAGATTAATGGAAACTGACCAGAAACAGTGGGAGGGAGCAGTTAGTAGAATTCAGTAAGAGGAGTATCTTCAGGACATTCTGTCAGGAACAAGGTTGCTGCCAAACCACAACCTGGTGGGCAGACAGCTGGAGAAATACATGTTCCAAGTTCTCTGTCCTCCTATTCTTTGATCTCTGATGGATGCCCCTTGTTGGACAAACCCAACCAAAATCTTAAGAGCTGGAGAGCTTGGATAGTGCATCTAAGGAGGCTGGCTTCCTGGGGGCACAGAAGGGAGAGTGGAGGAGGATGAAAAGTGGCTTTAGGGAAGGAAATGGGGAACATCTAGAACTTTGTGTCACTTCTGGTGCTTTAAGGCCTTTCTCCAGGGAGACAAAAAGTTTGTGTTGACTGAAGCTCCTGGTTGCTCAGGAGCCAAGGGCCACATAACGTGCCAATTGGGATTTTTGCCTCTGAAAGCCTCTGAGGCATAATTACTGCAATGAAATACCCTTTCTGTCTCTCTCCTCTGCCAATCCCCATGCCAGGAAGCCTTCCTCTCTTCACTTCTCATCTCTCTGCCGCTTCCCTTTCATGTTGCCAGATTTCAGTAAAATAACCAGGCATATAATAAACACTTACAGACCAAATTAAATAAGACAGGATACTTTTTCTTAACAATTTGCATTACAGCTTATAATTTACATTAAGTTGCACCACTTGAGCAATAAAAAATTTATAATGAGAAAGCCAACTTAATTTTGGAAGAAAATGACAGAGAAGTGACTGGTATGTTTCCTTTGGTAGAACACTTGGAGTAGAATACCTAGCAATTCTCTTCTGAGGCTCCAACCTGAAACCCTACAAAAGGAAGGACTTTGTGGAGGAACTATTGTTGGCTGCCTCCTTCTCCTTGGCACTCATCTGTACATTCTCCTCTTCTTATTCCTGGCTCCAGACTGCTCTCCTCACTCACACCTCCCACAGGTCTATCAGTTGACACTGCAGGGCATGGGAAGCTGTGGCTGGGGTGTTTTTGATGACAGACACTGAAGTGGTACTCCCAGTGGGGGAAGGTCAGCAGGCTGAGACAGGAGGGGAGAACAAAGCAGGACACAAGGACATCTGAAAGTCAGGAAGTGGAGCCGGGAACCCTTTGGGTTGGAGTTCAGTTCCTGATTTTTGTTGGGGCAGATTCTTTGCAGCACAACTTGAAGGGCAAAGCAAGCCCCTGAAGGTTGAATTACAGAGTTGTTCAAGGGCATGGGATCTACAAAATCTAAACCAGACTAAAATCAATGGAGCTTCCCCTTGAAAACCTATAAATAGTTTCCTGAAATCACTTTTTTTTTTTGCCTAAGATCTTGGGAAACTATTTCCCATAGGTCTCCTTTATGACATTGCTTGCTTCCATACTTCCATTTGGGTATGTTCAGAGCAGCAATAAGCCCGCAGGACAGCTAGAGTTAGATGTGTACCCTCAGTGAACAGAACGTGCTTGTTACCTTCTGTATGTGACAGTGTGAATGTAGGAAGGCTTGCTGGCTGTGCATTAGAGAATCTTAGACTTTAAAGAGGTGGACAGACTCTAAAATTAGCTCCTGTAAGTGTTCAGAGATAAATGCACAATATCCCAAGTTTAGGCACGACATAGGTAGACCTCCCTGAGATTAGCGCAGAGGACACTTCCCTAGTTAAGGAGAGGCTGGTTTAGTTAATGGCCATTTATCTCATTCCTTTGAGACCCCTTTTAGTCCTTTGAGTACCACATCCCTGGTTCCAGGAATATATTGGTCCCTTCTACTCTCTTGGGTCCAAAGCTGGACTAAAAACTCAAATTCATTTTCTTTTCTTTTTTCACATGACTGAGCCAGTCAGGGAGCTGAACAGGGCTGAGCTTCATTAGTACACTTCTGTAAGATGAGAAAGAAATGCTGTACAAGTTGTATCTCCTTTGTTTACATCCACATTGCTTTCTAAAGGGTTCTAGCACATCTGTCTTTTGCCATCTGGAGATTCTTTCTGGAAGTCATATTTGACCAAACCTAGGAGGATTTTGTATATTAAGTCAATGAAAGCCAGTTGTTCCAGTACAGATGGACTCACAACCTTGACCTACCTAGGCATTTTAAAAAGACTCAGCCTACCCAGTCAAATATACATCAGGGGTTTGTAAATCCCAAGGGCACACAAATTACACACAGGGGATGATCCTCGATCTACCCACTGAGTCTAAACACCCATTCTGCTTTTCAACCTGGACCTCAGCCTGGTCCTCCAGTCTTTGGAATTCATCTTTTTATTGCCGTATGGCTTACTCTTGGTACCAATCACTGGGTATGACATTGGTGCTTGTGGTCTGGTCACATGAACGCAACCATGGTATCTTCCTTGGCTCAGTGGAACTTACTTGCATGGCTTACTTTCTTCTAATTTTTCTCACCAGGTGATGAAATCTGACAGGCTATACTGCTTCATGCCTCACATAGTTACTGAAGAAGTGGGGAGCATTAGGAGGGTTCCCCAGACCACCAGAGGTTGAGTGGGAAATATTTCCTGATATGATGCTGAAAACTATACTTACTAAAGAAAACAGAAGTGCGAACACATTTCAAAAACATGATACCATACGACCTTTCAACAATGAGACTTAACAAAGCTGACTGAAGGTTTTGATAAGCTTTTGTCTCCTTATCCCCCAAACCCAGTGGCACTCCTCATCTCTTGCTTCCTGAATAAGAACAAACATGAAAACAACTTACTGTAAACTGGATTTGGCAGCCACCCATGATGTAGTCCAAGAAAGAGTGCATCTTGTGGATCTGCATAGGAGGGGAGAGGAAACTGGGTTAATAACAGCACAGTCTATTTCCTGATATATCAGAGGCCTAACGGTTGGTGACTGATAGGCTGCTAAACCAGAGGAAAGGGCAGACAGGCATAGTCAGAAAATGACGGGTCAGTTAAGTTTGTTCTGTTAAAGGGGAGAAGGAAAACAATAGCAATACAGATGAGCCTATGAGAGCTGCCAATATCTATCCCTTGCTCCCCTCTATTACAATTTATGCAAATTTTAATCAGCTTCTGCCTCTGAGATGAGACTAAAACTATATTTTCAAGTGTCACTACTGTTTTGAAATCAATAATGTCTCAAACTTGACTTCAGTCTTGCCTCCCTGTGTCTAAGTCCCAGTCCTGGTGACATCTTTAATATGCAGGTGATTTTGACAGGCAGTTTTAAGAAACCATTAGCTGAGAAGGTAATCTACTGACAATTTCCAATTAGTTAAACCCTTCCCCTGCCATGAACACCGACTAACATTTATTGGGCTTTACTGAATGTCACGTACTTAGCATCTTTCACCTCATTTAATTCTCGGAACAACCCTATGATTTACTGAATATTTCAAGCCTACTGCTGAGACCTACTGCTCAGAAAGAAGATTCCTTTCAAAATATTACAGCTCATCAGCAATAGACCTAGTTACACAAAATCTCTGATGGAGATATGCAAGGAGTTTTATTGTTGTTTTCATGTCTGCTAACACAATATCCTAATCTGCACCCCATGAATCTAAGGGTAATTTTGACTTTCAAGTCTTCTTATTTAAGAAATATATTTCATAAGGTTATAACTATCATTACAGTAGTTTTTCTGATGCATCGGAGAAAAGTAAATTGAAAACTTTCTGGAAAAGATTCATGATTCTAAATGCCACTAAGAACATTCATAATTCATGGGAGGAGGTTGAAATATCAAAATTAATGGGAGTTTGGAAGAAGTTCATTTTAAACCTCTAGGATGACCCTGAGGAGTTCAGAACTTCAGTGGTGGAAGAAACTGCAGATGTGGTAGAAATAGCAAGGGAACTGGGATTATAAGTGGAGCCTGAAGATGTGGCTGAATTGCTACAATTGATAAAACTTGAATAGATGAGGAGTTATTCTCATGGATAAACAAAGAAGGTAGTTTCTTGAATCTACTCCTGGTGAAGATGCTGTGAGCACTGTTGAAATGACAGCAAAGAATTTAGAATATTCCCTAAATTTAGTTGATAAAGCAGTGGCAGGGTTTGAGAGGATTAACTTCAATTTTGAAAGAAGTTCTACTGTGGGTAAAATGCTATCAGACAGCATCACATGCTACAGAGAAATCTTTCACGAAAGGAGGAGTCAATTAATGAGAAACATCATTGTTGTTTTACTTTTAAGAGTTACCTCAGCCACCCCAACTTTCAGCAATTACTACCCTGATCAGTCAGCAACTATCAATATCCAGATAAAATCCTCCACCAGCAAAAAGATTATTACTTAAGGCTCAGATGACTGCTGTATTTTTTTTTTAGCAATAAGATATTTTTAAATTAAAGTATTAAATTTTTAGACATAATGCCATTGCATATTTAGTAGACTACTGTATAGCGTAAACATAACTTTTATATGCACTGGGAAATGAAAGAATGTGTATGACTTGCTTTATTGCATTGGTTTGGAATGGAATCCAAAATATCCCTGACACAGGCCTTTATACATACACATACACATATGCATATACATACACATATATGTACGTATGCCTGTACACACACACACACACACACGCACACACACCCCATGAACACACATCTATCATCTGGATAGCAACTGAATCCTGTATGATGGAGTCAGAAACACATGGGTTAAAATCTCAGCTCTTAAATTTACTACTTGTGTGACTCTGAGCTAGGTACATAACCTCAATTGAAAGCAGACATCTCAGGGTTGTGGTAAGAGTTAAAGAGAGTTTATTGTAGTTATTCTTATATAGTAAGTACTCAATGAGTGGCAGCATCACTCCTGGCTTTGAGTTAAGCAGTTTAATTATTACCACATGTGATTCTCTGCAAAGCTATAGCCCCTTTGGAAGGAATTAGAAAGACCTTTAATCTTCTTCTGTTGTCATGTTTTTATGGTATCCTTTTAGTATGAGTAAGATACCACATATAAAGCACTGGACAGGCTGGGCGCAGTGGCTCACACCTGTAATCCCAGCACTTTGGGAGGCTGAGACAGGTGGATCATGAGGTCAGGAGATCAAGACCATTCTGGCAAACATGGTGAAACCCTGTCTCTACTAAAAATACAAAAAATTAGCCGGGTGTGCTGGCATGTGCCTGTAGTCCCAGCTACTCAGGAGGCTGACGCTTGAGCCCAGGAGGCAGAGGTTGCAATGAGCCGAGATGGTGCCACTGCACTCCAGCCTGGGCGACAGAGTAAGACTCTGTCTTAAAAAACAAAACAAAACAAAACAAAAACCACCACCACAACAAAAAAACCACTGAACACTGTGAAGGGCACATAGTAGGTGTTCTAGAAATGTTGGCTTCGCCCTTTGGAGATCTCCCTCTGGCACTGCTCTGGGCAGAGAAAATCCTGACCTATCAGTGGACCTCTCTTGTCTTTGGGGCAGGATAGTCCCTGGGGAGAGGATGGTGGCACTGGGCTGCCACAGCTCCATGATCACCCATGCTTACGTTTCTCATTTTATGTTCCTTAATACATGACATTTTTTATTTTTGTTTTAGAAGATCACATCTTTTTGACACTCTTCCTCTGACCACACCACTTGAACTCTTCCTCTCAGACAGCCCTAGCTTTATACTCCTGGAAGAGAGGGCTGCATACCTACCTTGCACAGATTCAGAATCACCGTGCCTGAGTTCTTGTAATTCTTCTTCTTGGCTTTATACTTGGGATTGATGCACTCCCACTGCACCTGAAAGAAGGGTCACAGTATGAGAATCTGCTTAGGGAAAAGCTGAGGCATTGAATAGGGCCAAGCTCCTAAGGTGCTGAGGACTGGAGGGCTGACAAATAGTCTGTAGGTGGTAACTCTTGCATTTACAGGAGCAATAAGGGGGGTGGTTGAGGGTGAGACTCTGCTGTCAGACTTCTAGGTTTGAATCCCAGCAACTCCATTTCCCTACTGTGTGATTTTTGGCAGATTACTTGTTTGCTCTATGTCTTGGATATCTTCTTTGCAAAATGGAGCTTATATCTATCTCATAGGATTATTGTGAAGACTGATTAATCCATGTAATAAATTTGGAATAGTACCTGGCATATATCAATGCTTACTATTAATATGGTCAAATCAAGCAATAGAGGGAAGAAGAAATCTGTAGGAATACAGTTGAGTGATACCCAGATACTAAGACTTACTGCCTGAGAATTGACTCAAAAGGTAGAAAAATTTAGGAATAGTGAATGCTGACTACAGAAATTTCATAGGGACAGTAATAAATTTACATAGAACTTAACAAAGAACTAAAATAATGGATTGACATATGTCCCAACAGTGACACAATAGATCTCCAAAGGGGCCTTTTTGAGGGATATGATCAGAGCTATAGGAGTGGCTGGGAATTGAAGAGTCACCTGGGAGCTAGTTGAAGAGTCAGCTGACTAGGAGAATAGGTATCCAGCCTATAGAAGATTTAATGAGACAAAATCAACTGTGAATAAAATATCCAAGAGTTGTTGCCCGCTATTCCCCACCATCCTATGAAAGATGAATCTCTGGATTTCTACTCAAGAGAAAGAATTTCTCTCCCTGAGAATTAGAAGTGTCTGAAACTGAAGTAGTTTCTGAGGCAGATGCAAATGGACAGACTGATATAGCAGTGGCCTTCAATAATCTATTCCTCTCGGTGTCCATGCATTTATATAGTTCCCTCCCACAAGGATGCGGCGTTTAGTCACATGACTTGTTTTGGCCAATGGGACATTAGCAAATGTGATAATAGCAGAGCCTTGAAAAGCGCCTGTGTATTGGGGCTGGCCCCTCTCCTGCTTCTGTGAAGTTTTCAGGGTCATGTTAAAAAGCCTACAATGGTCTCCTGGAGGATACAAGTACACCTGGAGAACTATCCTGGCCATCCTGGCTGCTGAGGCACAAATGCAAGAGTGAGTTCTGTTGGCACCACATGGAGCACTATGGGGAACAGAGAAGATTTCAGCTAAAATTGCCAACCCAGAGAATGGTGAGTACATAGTGATTGGTGTTTTCAGCCAGGAAGTTTTAAGCTAATTTTTCACTCAGCAACTGATAACTGATACCGTAGTTTCTCATCACTGGGAAGGTGGCAGCAGGACTGGGCAACTACATAGGATTTGGAAGACGGAGGTCTTATACCAGTGAAGGGTTCTCTATGATTCCTTCCAAATATGGGATTTTTGGGTGAAAGAAAGAAAGAAGAAAACATTCAAAGCAGAATCTAAAATCAGATCCCTAACCTTGTTTTTTTCACTTAAAGGCCTAATCTCTTAATATGTCCATAATGAATGTTGCCTTTAATTCCTCCCTTTTTCTTTTCATTTACTCTCCAGGTGTGTAGAACTTGATGAACAAGGATTACAGTGCATCTCAAAGTAGATGTAGTATTTCTATACAAAAGAGCCCAAGTTCCTCCCAAACCCATCAAAACTGAAATTGTCTTTCCCCCTAAAGCTTCCTCTAATATTTCAGTAAAACAGGTGCCTTAGGGATTTACCTAACAGTTGGAAAGAAAAGATACTAAAATTAGCTGTGCCATTTTTTGTTATTCTCAATTATTTCTATTAATCTCAATTTCTGCCATCAAGCAGGATATATTGAGTTAAAGATTTTGAATTCTATTAAAAGTTATAGTGATCATCCATGAAAAGTCTACTCACTTCCTTCTCAGGCTAAGATGAGGAAGGCCGGTTGGCTTAGTCAGGAGAGGGCTCCAAGGAAGTTGAAACAAACCTGTTGATATTCGGGGTCCTTGTGCTTGTCAGATGGGTAGGGAGTCCTGATGGACCAGATCTAAATATTTTGCATCTGTCTTGGGATGAAGTTGGCATATAACTATGGGCTATACACTCTACTTTCCCAATCCCATTTAACTCTCCCCACAGCCCACTTTGATAGATGGAAGATGAGGCTTGGAGAAGAGAAGGGAAACTTGCCCAGGCCATACAGGTAGTAACTGATAGACCTGGGATTCACACCCACATCAGTCTCATTCCTAAGCCTGGACTATTAACCACAATGCCTTCTTCTAGGAAGGTCCTGGAGTAACTCCCCTATTCTTGCAAGCTTCCCCTTTGGCCACCCCAAACTAAGGATGCTTACAAATGTTATTCAGGAAATAATCAAGGTTAATTAAGAATTTACCCTGTACCTATAGAATCATAACTCCCACAGGAAAAGGAAAGTTGAAAGATGCTGTCTCTATTCTCTCTGATGCTACATAGTGAGATTCCTCAGGATTTCAGTTTCCTCTATCCTTTCTTCAATCCCTTCTCTCTAGGTGTACTCAACCATTCTCTTGATTTTAAATATCCTCTCTTAGTTGATGGCTCCTAAAATACATTTACAGGTAAATGTCTCCTCTGAGTGCCAGTTTTTGAAACCAGATTTTGAAAACTTCCTCATAAACTGGACCTCCCTGCCATAATTATTCCTCATCTCAGAAAATGGCACCATTTAACCATCTATCCTTGAGTCATTCTTTTCCACCTTCCCTATATCCAAGCCTTCAACGAACCTTGTAGCCCCTAGTTCCAAAATACGTCTTAAGTCTATCCAATTTATCTATCTCTATGTTTTCTTAACCCAAGTCATTATCACCTCTTATCTATAGTAGTAGCCTCCTTACAGATCTCCTGTGCCTCTCTTTAATTATCTGCACAGTAGCAAAAGTAATCTTTTAAAAAATTACAACCAGTCATGTCATTCTCTAGCTAGAACGCTTTGCAGCACTGTCCAGTAGAATTTTCTCAACAATTGGTATATTCTGAATCTGCACCAGCCACATGAGAATATTGAGTATTTGAAATGTGGTTAGCATGGCCAAAGAACTTAATTTGCTACTTAATTTTATTTTGATTAATTTAAAAATTTAAATAGCCACATGTAGCTAGTGGCTACTGCATAGGAAAGCACAGCTTCCACATGCTCTTGGTACATTTAGAAGAATCTGCCTTTCCTGGCCTCTGGCCTTGTTTCTCACCACATCCTATGAATGGTCTCTTCACTCTCTGCTTCAGATATACTGGTCTCTTTCCAGGTCCTCCACCACACCAAGCTCATTCCTGCCTCTGTACTTTGCAATACGATTCCTTTTGGTTCAAAGCCTTAATTATGGTGCACATAGAGCCTGGCACAGTGCTTGGGATTTAGTAGATGCTACTCGATAAATATTGCAGAATCAATAAATAAGAGAATATTTCCCACTATATAAATAACACCAAAATGGGGGCTGGGTAGTTGAACTAAAGTTTTTCTGGTATCTCAGTGATACAGAAAAGCGCAATAGCATATGGTCCATTTCCTCAGTGGAACTTAAAAGATTTCTCTCTGTTTGACAGCATTAGGTTTTGGTATATTTCACTTATGGTATGTGTTACGTTCTTATTTTTAATATCCTTTTAGGAGCCTAAAAATGAAATATTTCCTATATTTACTGCTTGGGCTGTTTCTATTTATAGAAGTGGATAAGGCAAAACTTTATAAAACTCTTTAGAACTCTAGCAAGTGGTATGAATACTGTCATTGATTTATTAGCTAAATAGGTGTAGTTCTGCAAATTCAATAGAACAACAGTTTCTCTAGCTATAGTCCTTGTTAACTTGGGAATGACTTTGGTTATAATTTAGTGTGGTTTTAACTGTGGCTCTGAAACTCTGCATCCTGGCTTGTGGGTGAATGTCTCTGTGCGTTTGACAAGTTTCTTGTAATGCTGAGTACCTAATAGAGCATTTACAGCAGGTTTTGCAGGAGCTAAGTAGAAAGCTGTCATTGTTTCCATTGAGTTTCCAGACCAAGGGTATGTGTTCAATAAATGGTCTGATTCAGATTATGTTTCTGACTCTAAAAAAATGTTAGTTCATTTCCATCCAGTTTGATTATATCCTGACCTTGCATATGAGAAGTTGAAAAATGAGTTGGGGCATCTTTAATCAGCACTTCTGACCAGAGCAGGCACAGAGGATTATCTCTAAAGAAGAAGACTTTCTCAGCCAAGCGCAGTGGCTCACACCTGTAATCTCAGCACTTTGGGAAGCTGAAGTAGGTGGATCACAAAGTCAGGAGATCTAGACCATCCTGTCCAACATGGTAAAACCCTGTCTCTACTAAAAATACAAAAATTAGTCAGGCATGGCACATACCTGTAGTCCCAGCTACTCAGAAGGCTGAGGCAAAAGAATCACTTGAACCCAGGAGGTAGAGGCTGCAATGAGCTAAGATTGTGCCACTGCACTCCAGCCTATGTAACAGAGCAAGACTGTGTCTCAAAAGAAAAAAAAAAAAAAGAAAGAAACAAAGAAAAGAAAAAGACTTTCTCAAAAGCACTGAGCCCTCAGCTTTCACTCCTTTCTGCTCCAGAAGGAGAATGAACTCTAGAATAAGAATGGCAGGTATCTTGGGTTGAGTTGCCCAAGAAGCAAACTTTGAGGCAAGAATGTTAAAGTAAGTATTCTGTCTGGGAGGTGATACCAGGAAGTATGAATAGAGGGATGGGGAATTAGACAGAGGAGGCATCCCCAAAAGGGTGCACCTTCAGTTACCACTGTGGATAACTAGGTCCTGCTGGGGAACTCTGGAAAATTGTATAGAGAACATACCTCAGAGTTTTGCTAGTTGAAGGGCAAGGGAGCTGGGGTATCTATACACCAACTTCCATTAGTTATTTGTTGGGGGATACCTCCTGGAAGGTGTTACATCTCTGTCCACACTTCTAGCCTGCTCTGGGCATGGATAAAACAGGCTCCAGCAGCTAGAGAAAGCCCTCAGGCAAAGAGGTACTGCAGCTGGACATTGGGCAAGTGAACAATAAACAGGTAAAAGGAGAAGTTTCATGAATAGAGCTCAGATGACTTCTTGATCGATATATCTACCTACCTACCTACCTATCTAGATATGATAATGATATATGATATGATATGAAAGCGTGTGTATCTGAGGAAAACACAGAAGGGGTTTGGGTTTCTGTGTGGGACAATGTGTCTTTGTGGTATGTGGTAGTGTTTGGGTACAGGTCTTGGCATCAAGTGTATAAGAGTAAAATGATGGCATTAGAAGAAAACCTGGTACCCCTACGAAAATTTAGAGAATTTAAATAATTTCTCCAAAGCATTAAATTGTTGTTAATGTCACCAAATCATAGAAATATAGACCTAGAAAGAATATTACTGTTAATAGCAGATATTTTGAAAATGCTAGCTATGTGCTAGGTGCTCTGTTAGCACCTGGGATTATCTCATTTAATCTTCACAAAATTCTATGAAGTAGGTGCAATTATCACTCTTATATTTTAGGTGAGAAAAATGAGGCATGGAGAGATTAAGTCACTTTTTCAAGTCTACACAGCTAAAGTAGATTAGAAATACTCTCATCTCACCTTTCCATTTTACTAATGGAGAAACTGTAACGTTTGGGGTCAGTGTCTTTTCCAAGGACACACAATTGCTTAGGGTTGGGCTAGTTCCAGAATCTAGGAACTCACATCCCACGATGCTCCCTTCTTATCACATGTAATCATGCATTGATATTTTGCCTCTCACTGTTTCATTTGTAGCTGGGTGCTAAGGATTATCATAGAGGCTGCCTGGAGGCAAAAACCCACACAAGTGGTTGACCATGTACCTGTTTCCCTTCCATTGCTCCTCTCATCTCCTTGAACGTCGAGGTGAATTCTCCAATGAAGTCATGCTTGCCATTGGAGTCCCAGTCCCATACTATGCACTGTAAGAGAAAACAATTATCTTTCTTAAAAGATTAAGAATGTAGCCACAGCAGCTGAAGACGTCGTAAACTTTATGACAAAGAGTAGATGAAAGATGTTTGGTCTGGAACCAAAGCCTGGGAGTCTAAGATTGGAGCATGTAGGTTGTCATTCTGGTTTCTATAGCCCTTTGCTTGGACTTTTTGCCACAATTTGCAAATGGTCCTGTGATGCAGCAGTGTCTACAATGATGGCCCATTTTTCAGATAAGGCCAGCAAGACCCATAGGAGGTAAGTGACCTGCCAAAGGGACCTTCTAGTGAATGAAAACCTGGGACTTGAAGGCAGATGTCCTGCCTCCAATTTCAGTGCTGCTTTATGAATAGCAGATAGACTCCCTGGTTTGCACTGGAATCAAATGCCTGAGTCCATGTATGTAGCTTCTACAATGGCAGCTCCTGCTTCATGATTTGAATGGGGCCATATTAATGACATTTTTCTTTTTCTATTTTTTGCTGAAGTCAAAAGAGCAATAACAACAAAAATTATTAAGAAGGCAAAAAAGTGAAATCTTTAAATGTACCTATGTGAAAAATGGTTGGAAAATAGTGGACACACAATATCAGATATTTACCACACTGGGAAATATTATGTACCCATTACACACAAGATGCAACCATTCCGTTCTAACAAAAGGGCTCCTTATAACAATGTTAAGGATAAATCCTGGGCTCCCGAGTGATACTTTTTAAAGTGACTAGATTGAATCAGCAGCAATCCCTCTGCTTGGTCACACGTCTAAGCGAAGAAGAAGGTCTGCATGTATTCCCAGGGTGGAGGCTGTACTGGTATCTTAGCTTACTTTAGATATCATTTCTATATCTTAAGTTAAAGATTTGCAGCAAAGAATCTCAGATCTCAAATAAGATCAAGGCAGCAAAGGGGACCTTTTGCTCAAAGGTTTTCCTTGTAATATTGGGGATCAAAGAGGGAGCTCAGTCCTTCTTCAGGATGCAGATCCCACTAGCCAGTCTTGCCTGAAAAAATAGGACTTGGTAATCTGCAGATGCCTCACAAATCTACAATATGATCTGTCTAAAATGAAACATCATTTCCCCCTAAATTTATTCCTACTCATTTATTTTCTGTCACAGTGAATTGCACCAGCACTTATACAGTTGCCACAAACAGAAAACTGGGCATCATTCTGGATATTCCTGTCTCCACTCACCCTCCCACATCAGGTCCTCACCATTCTGTTTCCTAACTATGGCTTGACTCCAGCACTCCTCTCCATTCCTGCTGCTCCTTCTCATCTGCATTCCTACAACAGTCTCCCAGCTTGTCTTCTTATGGCACTTACACTCTCATACTCCTTATAACCCACTAATTATGTTAATTCCCTGCTTAAAATCAAAATGTATATAGGCTAGCAAGTCTTTCATGATCTGACTTCCTCAATACTTCCCAATTCACCCTTTATGATCCATGCTTACTGTTTTAGTCAGGGTTCTCCAGAGGGACAGAATAGGATACACGTACATATGAAAGGAAGTTTATTGAGGAGAATTGGCTCACATGATTACAAGGCAAAGTCCCATCATGTTAGCCCATCTGCAAGCTGCGAAGAGAGAAGCCAGTCGTGGCTCAGTCCAAGTCCGAAAGCCTCAGAACCACGGAAGCTGACAGTGCAGCCTTCAGTCTGTGGCCGAAGGTCTGAGAGCCCCCAGGAAGCCACTGGCACAAGTCCCAGAGTCCAAAGGCCACAGAACCTGGAGTCTGGTGTCCAAGGGCAGGAAGAGTGGAAGGAAGCATCCAGCATGGGAAAAAGAAGGAAGTCACAAGACTCGGCAAGCGAGGTTACACCACCTCTTCCACGTGCTTTGCTCTAGCTGTGCTAGCAGCTGATTGGATAGTGCCCACCCATATTGAGGGTGTCTTCCTCTCTCGGTCCACTGACTCAAATGTCAGTCTCCTCTAACAATACCCTCAAAGACACACGCAGAAACAAGACTTTTCCAGCCACCTAAGCGTCCTTCAATCTAATCAGGTTGACCCCCTAATATTAACCATCACACTTACAGTCTTTGAAAGTTTCTCTAAAATGGGGTTGGTAGGAATGAAAAACATTTGCAATGACCTTTTTAAGACATCAAGAAAAACTAATTTCTCAGCTCCTGCTATCTCTTTAAATATGGAGGATTTTGCAGATAATTATTTTGCCTAAGAAATATTAAGAAGCCCTTTGGTTAGGAAGGAGAATGCATTAGAATAAGTAAGAATGGAAGAGATTAAGACAGAAGGAGCTAAATTTATCTGCTGAAGAAAGTAATGGTCAAGTTGAATTTTCTCTTTGATAACAACTAGAGACACAGAAGTGAGTAAATCCAAGACATGCGAATTGAGAAGAAATTAGGGTAGGTTTCCTCAGAGGGCTGAAGATGGACCCAAGTTTGGGGTACGAGGAGGAGAGACACATAAGGAATTTTGAAAACTGTGATGTCTAATTTTCAAGGTGAGATTATTTATATATGTCACCTTTCTATTCCCCCGCTCCCAACTTGCCCTTCTTCCACAACCCCAAGATTCCAACAAATCTGCTACCCATAACATCATTATGCTGATGATGACTTGCAGAATAAAGAAGAGGGGCTGTGTCCATATCATTGGGGATAAAGCAGACCAGAAAGTAGTGTGAGATGGCCCACAACAATGACTGAGAACTGAGTCGGGGGCAGGACTGCGGAGAGACAGTTTGACAGGGAAATCTCAGAGTGGAACACTACAGAAATACTATGGAAGGTTGTTGGCTGTTCTGCTAACCTGGGTCTCTAAGTGAGGGTAGTGCAGAACTCCCAGATGACCTATGTGTAGGTAAGAAATAAACCTTTGTTGTTTTCAGCCATTGAGATTACTGTGGCATAACGTAGTCTGAGAACCATCTAAGTACTTAAAGTACTGTCATAGAAAAAGTTATGACAATTTATTTTTTCTCATTCCAAAAGTGGGATAAATGGAATTTTAAGAGGTTACAAAGAACTAACAAAGGAAGCATTTTCCAATAAACCTGTACCAAACAAAATAATCTATTTGTGAAAAACTGTTTTATTGCTAGAAATGTTCAAGCAGAAACTGCAGGAACACATGCAAAAAATGTAGCAGAGAAAGTCAAGCAGAGAGTTATAGAAAAATCGGTGGGATGTTTTTGAAGTTTCTTCTAATTCAGAGATGCTAAGAGTAGTCCTAGTTGTATGGGATGCAAAATGAAGTCAATGCAAGGCTTAGCTCACTCTGCTTGAAATGCTATGCAATGCAATGTAGCTTTGATAAGAGTGATGGGAACCCCTTGCATTCAAGGTAGGATGAAGTTTTACCTCATTTTTCCAATAAACAGTGGAACAAATAAATGATTCAGTCATTTGGGAAAATTGCTCAGGGTGGGCAGTGTGATCATCACAATGTGGAACACTGAATTGATCCACTGGCTGTTACAATCAGGTGTTTTACTCTCTGCGTGCCAGCTCCTTCTTATTGACCCTGACACTCACACACTCCTTACCTGGAGAAAGGAGCAAAAGAAAGTTTGCTGGGCCTAGACATAGAAAGAAGAAGGGTGGCTCCTGGGACCTTGTATTTGAGGCTCATAACTTTGACTGATAGTAAGTATAGCCCACTGAATGCCTGCATCTGACACTCAGATAATTATTCTCTTACCTTTGGAAGGAGCAAATAAAAAGGCAAAGGAGGCAGAAGCAAGTAAAAGAAGTGGGAGCAGCCTTTTTAGCACTCTCCTGAACTGGGAAAGAGCAGGAGTCCCCTTCTTTAGAGACAGGGCACACACCCCATTCACCCCTTCTTTGCCGGCTCTTAGATTTCCCATCATGCTTTGGTGAATTACTGTCCCCCCTTAACCTGCCAGCCACAAGCTTTTAAGATGTTTGCAATGTGCTCTCTGGCTGGGGCAGAAAGGGAGTGACCACCAGGCCTCCCTGAACTGGAGGATGAGTCAGGCTTGACAGAATTCCATGGGGGGGCCTCTCAGCAGCAGCAGTGCTGCTTACAGGGGCCTGTTCCTTCAATCAGCTGGCATTCCTCATCAGGGCAATTGTAGAATTTTATTTTGACCTTTCTGAGAAGGAATTGCAAAGGAAGAAAGACACAGTGAAGCAGACAAATAAAAACACTGCCTTTCCTTCTCTCTATGGCATAAAGCTGGCTTATGACAGCTCTGATTCAGCAGACAGAGGAACGTATCTTGGTGAAAAGTAGACAGATCAACCACCCTGCAGAAAAACTGAGACAGAGGCAGAGTCTTTGGTGTGAATCAATAAGAAGGCCTTGGCACATCTGTGAAAGTATGGCACCTTCAAACTATCTACAAGTCAGAAAACCTTCTCAGGTTCTTCATCGCACAGAGAAGTTTAGGAATAAAATCTTTTAAAACATGTGAGCTTGACAGATGGCCTAGTTAACTCCTTCCTTTTACAGAAAAGAAAATTGATGGCAGATAAGTGACTTATGCAAGTTCACCCAGTACAGGGTGGACTAAAATCTGGTTTTCTTACCTCCCTAATTTCACCACTACAACACAAGCACAAATGATAATAGTTAAAAAGTATATAGTGTATACTATGTGCCAGACATTGTTTGGAGCACTTCATACATATTAACTCACTTAATGCACAGAACAGCTTATTTTATGCTTATTTTTACAGATGAGGAAACTGAGGCACAGAAAGATGAAGGAACTTTCCAGAAACTACACAACTAACACTAGGTACTAGTTGAACTAAAGGAAGTTTAGCATCATAGCTTGTCTTAACTGAGCATCTTTTATAAAGCCAGGCCATTTGTGTGTATGGTCTTACATTCTTTACAATAATCATGACATGACAATATTATTACCATTTATAGGTTAACTGCCATTCACAGGTGCCATTTACAGGCTTGGAGAGGGAATGTGACTTGACTAGACACCTGGTAAGTGACAAAGGTGGATCTGAACCCAGGTATTTAATGT